GCGGTTTTAAGCCCCTGCAGTGTTAGACAGGGTCCGAGTAAAACGCAAAAATCGACAACCAATTTTTGGTGAGACACTGCCTCTGACTGGTACTGCCTTCGCGCCTTCGTCCGGCAGTAACCTATAAGTTCACAGTTGAAAGATCTACAATATGTGTGCAACTCAGCACGGGCTAGCGAGGTCAGCCGGTTATCAAGTAAGTGCTTAAATTCAACTGTGTGAAAATGATGTACAGGAAGGTAGAGGGTTCAAATTGGTGGGAAATCAAGATCTAATGTTATAGAGCCCTTTCTCATAGGTCTTCTTCATGTTAAAGACAAGGCGAAAAAGATTTTCATACCTTTCGCTTTCGCAAAATTGCATCCATCAAATCTCTTTGGGATTTGGCTATGATGTCCAACCTAGTCTCCATGTCACACAGCCGGCTTTTCAACGAGTAGTTTTCTTGCAGCAGTTCGTTTACTCTTTGTGAAGTGAGCTCTGTCCTAAAATAAGACTATTCATACAGGTCGGGATCCACGGGAAAGCAGCCTACAATTCCATCGCATTCAGCCAGCTTGCATCTGTATCTCCTTTTTCGTTACGTAATCTCTTCCTCGTAAGTTCGTCCATGCAATCTTCCTCAAAATCATGTAACTCGCGTAATTCTTCCGCATTCAAGCATAACCCTTAAGAGAGGCATTGTGTCAAAAAAGTGATCTTTTTTAGTTTATTAGACGTTTCCTGTTGACCACCCAAAGCGTAAAAACAAGCCACAAAAGGCAGCAAAATCGATATCTTTCCTGTTTCAAGCAAACCACCATAATGACTTTTTCGAATACTTGCTTGATGTGAAGCATGACTGATTTCGTTAGAGAAAACGTTGATTTGACAGATGATCTTATGAGTGTCACAGCTAACTATACAGTTAATGTTTTCAAAAAAGAAATGAGAGGAAACTAACGCATGGAACAGTTGATAATCACGTCGTCACGTTCCTTTTCTGCTTTCAAAGGCTTTTTCTGCAAGGAATAGATAAAAGAGGAATTTTGCTATTAAGATGAGCGATTACCCTGCAAAAGCAGAAAAGTCGCCCGATGTATGACAGCAAAGTGAAGGGAGGCGGCAGAAGCGGCGTGTCGTTGTATTCCATCACCTAGATTACAACTGAGTATTATAATATTTAGCTTGTCCTATCTTTAGAAAGGCTTTGATAATTTAACGATGTATCCCTGCAAAAGTTGTGAAATACCGGTAGTAAAAAAAGTGGAATTATAACCGTAGTCAGTCTCCAGTAAGATCCAAATTATCTGGTTAACTGCTATTACGATAAACTGGAGTGCGCCAATACTAATCCCGTCATACACAATAAGAAATCCGTTGTTGCAATAGGAATCAGTTACACAGTAAGCATCTCTGCAGCGCAGTGGGCGCTTATAGGGCCTTGTAGGGCCTTATGGTAAACTATACTGTCATAGGTATGCAATTCCTTGAACACTTTTATCATATATACGAAACCGGTTCAATCTAGTCCACAATGGATAACGCAGCAGTTTACTACACGCACATATACAGCACATAAATTTCTAACAAGGGGAGGATACTTGGTCGAAGTGGCGTT